AAATACCAAAGATAGACCGGAGATCCGTAACAAACTAAATTTCGATTTACTCTATTTGCGAACCTAAAAAGAAGATGATTCAAAGTTTCAAAGAACTGGAAACAAAATGATCCAAAGCTTGAAATATTGAGAGATAAAATAGTTCAAAGCTGAAAATACCTAAGAATAAAATAGCCCGAAGCTTCAAATTTTTAAAAGGATAATATAAATGAAATAAATAATGTAAATTTTCAACCGCTTTAAACGCGTCTCTAAATATTCGCGGAAGATTACGCGCACGCTTCAGAGTAGAACCAGTTTGAACGACGAATGAATTTATTATGCGTTAAAAGGAAAAAAGTAGCGTAATTTTTTCTTCGAAAGGAAAGGACGTCAGCTAATCGCGCAGCATCGGTGCGATGGACGGAGACAAAAGTCGCCTTAACGTATTCAAGCGGCTCTGCTCTCCGACTAGCAGTCTGCTTATCCCAATTACTATCCCCGCTGAAGAATGCTTGCGCGTCTACATAATCGCTGTAATCTTCGCGCTCGTTATAATTATCACCGTCCATTACGACAGATTCTATCGGATGCTCGGGCGACCGTCGATGAAACGCGACTGTCTAGTCGACCGCCAAATCTAATTAACTTTGTGCCAATTGTGTAGGCATTATTCTTTACATAGACGATTGTTCTGTATATTTTTTATTTCTTTGGTTTTTATTTTCAACGTTTCCGTAATTATGCTTTCCTTAAAATCCCTCAAATACCGCCGTCACCTGAGATACTACTGTATCTGTTCTAGTCCACTGTTAATCTATGTATTTCACTTCTAATATGCAAAACATATTTGTAAATTAAATTTCGCTACAATCGTCTACGATTATACGATTCTCTGATAAAACTTCAACGTCTAAGAGAAACTATCGGACACATTCGCGAGCAGAACGAACGAAAAAATGAAAATTTGTCGACACGAATAATCGAATGGTCACGGTTGCGTCGCACTTGCCACACTTTCCCGAAGAGATCCTCTTGGATCGTGTTACTTCTCATCCGCTATTCGTGCCGTTCAAGGTTTCTGTTTTCCGGCGTTCTCACCGTGTATCCCTCTGTCGTACGAACGGACGCACACAGAGGAGCAGGTGAATGAGGGAAGCCGTTCGATAAATCTTCAGGCGCCAGGGTTGAAATTTTCGCCACCTCTCCGCTTGTCAGGACCGTTCTACAAAGATATTTTCGGTATTACCTGGCCAAAGATCAGATCCTAAAGATACCTGGCTTAACGAGCTCTTTCGTTCGTAGAAAGAACGCTTCTTCCATTTCCATGTCATCCATAAAATAATGTTAATTTGTGGCCCCATATGTACACACCTCCGGTCGGATAATTAACGAGTCTGCCTCTATTTCTAGCCGATCGAATATTTTTTCCTTCGTATCCTAGCGAACCCGTGGTTACCGTGAATTAGGACGATTCCCAAGTGTTCGAAAGGATCTATACAGGCAATTATCGTAGCAGTATCTCGGCTAATCGGGGCTGGTATTTATCGGAAAGACATTTTCCTCGGTGACGAATTTATTTCAGTTTATTAGGTCCTCTTGTGGCTGCTCAAAAAGCGGTCGACTCTACTTTTTGAAAGTTTCGAAACTTTAACGTCGAAGCGCATGATCGATGCTTCTCTTATATAATTTCGTCAATTTCCTTTGCTTCTTGTTTCGTGGCAGATGATAAAAATAACGTTATCGTTCTGAGACAACGATATTATTAGCGAATCGACGAGTTACAAGTTACGGATCGAAAATGTATATCGCGCAAACATGTTAGAACAATTTTATGAGCGAATAGTAATCGGAAGATTCGTGATCTATAAAATTTGCTTATAGAATACCGATCCGTGATTATTAGTTTCGTTTTATCCTGTGCCAATCCTGTGCCTCGCATAACGCTCTGAAATCATTCACTCGCGTAACCCACACCGAAACAGCCTGCCATAAACATCTCAGCTACTACTTCCCATCTACTTCAACGCCAAAATCATAACTCTGAAACTATCGAGCGAACGCCAGTGTTCGAGGTGACGCGTAATCTGCTCCTCTAAGCCGTCGAGGAATAAACTTGCACGGTAGATAAAACAGCCTCTTAACATCCTGTTTTGCGCTGTGCCCTCTGTTAGCGCAGAATCTATCGAGGGCTACCAAAGAAAAATATCGACCACTTAATTTCGCAGACGATAGGCAACCGATAGGCGGTCTGCGCCGCTGTTATCAGAGTAATTAGTGACACCTGTACTATCTGGCTGGCGAGTCGGCGACGATAGCGAGCTGTGAAAAATATTGAAAGTTCGCCCACGAGGATCCTTTCAGCCGACGAGGATCTCTGGTTCTCCGGCGTTTCGTTTCTCTTCTGGATTTCGTTCTCTCTCTCTCTCTGTCTCTCTCTCTCTCTCTCTCTCTCTCTCTCTCTCTCTCTCGATATCAAAAGTCCCTGAATGGTAGCGTTTAATTACACTTAATGACACCGCTGCTAGTGGCGTGAAACTGTTGGATAAAACGCGTGTCGCGAGCTGGGAGGCGCTACCGATGATTTACGGGCCCGATAATTTCATCGTTACGCACCGAAACAACCTTAGCTGACCGAAGCGGATCCGCGACGAGGCGTTGCTTTTCGAGCGACGCAAGCTCTCTCGTCTTTTGGAACGGAGTTTGGCCTGCTCGTAAGGTGGAAAGCGAAGATGGAGTTATCGAGTCCGCACAGCCCATTATCGTAAATGTCACAGGTTATCTTTTTCCGAACTGCCCCCTTTCATATTTTAAAAACAATCGCTATTATCTTTTCGTACGAAACAGAGAGAAATACTCGTCTCTGTTTTTAATCCTATCTATCATACGATAAGGACTCTCGTTTTTAAATGTTTTTGCCTTGGTATTTACGCGACACGTTTTATCGTAAATGGAGTTTAACCGTACTCCGATCGCTCGTAATCGAATCCATTTTAATATAGCGACTATTAACACGGGGAATTTTGGATATAGCGTAACATACGTAGAACATAATCGCATATGAACGTATTACAGTATATTCTGTAGTATCGTGGACGAAAGGTCTAAGAGATGTCGGGTGAACCATAAACGATGTCGCGAGAAAGCCTAAGTGCCGACAGGTCCATCGTCGGCCCTTCGATCAAACAGTTACGCGGAAAAAAGTCCTACGTGATCCTGGCCACGAGCGGTTGCGGGACACGTGCGTGGTGGGGCTACGAGAAAAGACAAAGGGATGCAAAGGGAGAAAGACGAATTAACGATCGGTGTGAGTTGAGAAGTCGGAGAGTGTGGTCCGCGCAAACAGAGCGTCGGAACCGTGGTGACGAGGCTTGTAATTTAACCGTTTAGTTGTCTTAATTGTAGCACGTTATCGTAGTTAGTTCGCGTTAAACAACCATCGTTTGCTGTTTAACCAACACCTGTTTAATCCATTTTAAATAAATAATATATAAAAATCCTACGATTCCGTGATGTATATATAATAATAATAATATAATAATATTCCAAAGGTAACAATTTACAACATAATCCACTGCTTCTCTTCAAATAGAATTACGTTCTCGGAATAATATCACGCCCATATGAATAGATGATCCGACCGTAGAGTCATATATCGAATCATATGGAATCATAGAGAATGAACGCGCAATTTTATCTACGTAGCAAAAGTGGAAAAAATTCCGTACGTTCCATCGTATTACGACGATAAATCCGTTAGTTTCCAAAGAACCAGCCGCGAGACGCGCAATTATTTTTTTCGATCGCAGCATCCGATACATCGTACTCTTGACCTCTCGTACGCGGCCTAGCAGCAGTTTGTTCTATTTATCCACCTCTGACCGGTTCGTTCTCGTTCTCTCGCTCTTGAGCGCTGCTCAGCTGCTCGCACGTTTTCCCGGTGCACGGCTCGCATTGTCCGGTAAAACCGTATTTTCGGCCCCTGCTACACGACTTTAACGAGCTGATCGCTATCGAGACTCACCGAGTTATTCACATGAGTCATTTCTACGGAACGGACTGGACCGTCTGTCCCTCCGCGTCTTGTTCTCGTGGAACGTTGTACGAATTAATAATCGTCGCCACGCTGCATTCCACGGCAGAATGATTAATCTTAAATTAATCGAGCGCCGTTATTTCTTCGACCTTTTTGCGTCGTATTTTACGTGGCAAAAAGTGGATCGAAGATTTAACCGAGACGAAAGAGAAGATTTTATCGGACGAGGATGAACGATGGATTTTTACTGGTGTAGAATAGATACGCTCATCTGGCTAATAGTTTGTTAAAATACGACGTTACAGGTACGCGGTATCGAGCGTAAAACGGTCAAGAGCGAACAAAAATCAACGAAAAAATGGTAAAACGAAAGATCGGTATTCAAAGTATTACGATAATCGTAAACCAAAAACGATATCGAGATAAATGTCAATCGATATCGAGTATAAGAGCGCGACGATCGGAAGATAACGGTGCAATAAACGTCGGTGCAACAAATCCCGATAACGTTGATCGAAACGTTTCTTTAAACGTCGTTCGAGGTACAAAGGGAAAAATCCATATAGTCAAAGTTTCTCGCGCGCGACTCTACGTCCCCTATAAAAATGCAAATTTCGTACATGTTGTTGTTGAAGCGGCGATCAATGAGAGCCATGAATCGCGCGCTAAACGCTCGATTACATCGGGAATACACAGAAAGTCGGCCGAGTGTATAAATCCAACTGGCTCGGCCGGCGAGTACGTACGTTAAGCGTAATTTATTCCATATATGATATACACACTGAACGCGCCGTGCTCTGCACACGATTCTCCTCCTCTCTTTTCCTCTCCCTTCCCCTCCTTTCTCGCCCTCCCTTTTTCGTTTCCTTTGATACCAGCCTGTTCGCAGCAGAACGAGGCCGCGATCTTCTCGGGACCTTCTCTCGTGAACGCGTGTAACGCGATGGTACACGGGATTTATGGGAATATTTATGCGTATTTATAGGGCGTGGAATCGTCGATGTCCGCCGACGTGGCTACACGGGACCCTGTTCCACGGGCTATGGTCTACCGCGTGGACACGCGGACCCGGATCGGCCCAGCCTCCGTAGTCCTCGCCGAATTTATAACGCGCCACGAATAGTTCCGTGTTCCACGCGGCCGCTCTTCTCACGCTTCGCGCCACCCGGACACGGCCACCACCGTGGTACACGTGTTTGCGTGTCGACCTTACCGAGTAGCCCCGGTTTCCACGACTCTCTGATCGACCATCCTCCGAGGATCGGGTTAGGTACGATGTGCCGTCCACCATTGATCTTCTTCGACCATGGGTTCGTGAGATCCAGGTTTCAGAGTTCCGAGTCTATCGGAGAAGGATGCCGACCTTTTGAAAGAATTCATATCGTTACGACGTAGCTGCTAGGAGGATTTATACGCATAGCTATCTCGAAAGATCGTCGCGTATTTTTATTTTAAACGAGAAGCACGGAACCTGAACCGAACCCATTTTGAACCGAACCGAAGAAATTTTGCCTCGTCTCGAACGAGACTCGCGACAACCAACTACCTGACGGATTAACGGATTGCCGGCTATTATTACGCCCTGACAGGAACACCGTCGATGTCTTAAGCAGTCCGTGTACCCTGAACGTTACACCGCCGCTTTTACGTAGAGTAAGATTTATTCTCGCGCGAGTTTCGTCGAACTTGCCCATAATATGGCGGTTATTTATTAAAATTGGTCCGATGACGAATGCGGCAGCGACGTAATATGCGGGACAGCGAATAAAATACGGTAGCACGAGCCTTCTTATAGGTGTACTCGAGTACAGTAGGTGGAAATGATACAGCGAGGTCGTAAAGTTGGTCGGTAAAGTTAATTTACAATTTTCCACGACCGCAAGCGTAGTAAGACTATTCGAGGCAAAAGTAAGCTTCCGCGCACTTACATCGAACTTTGCACTTTGCACGGGATAATCAAATTTATTGTATATCATCGGTCACCAGTCCTTAATATGAGACAGTAAGTCACCGTTGTTCTTTGATGTAACAACGAGGAAATTGAAATTTTATCAAACGCTACTTTTACGATGGAGCATACGTTAATTTCGATCGATTAAACGTAGCGCCTTTAATCGTACAATTAACAGATACGCTCGTAACGATTTTGAACGATAACGAAACGTATCGAACAGAAATTAGAGACGCTCGATTATTCTTTGGTCCGTCCGAAGAAAGACAAACGCTAATTAACGCTTTATTTTACGAGCTCGTTATGTCGCGTCCAGCTATTATACAGAGCACGAGGAAAGGCGTGATTTTAACGAACCGCTTAAATCAAAGCGTTCCGATGGCCGTGGAGACATTATACGCGGTTAAATTATGCCGATTCGAATTGGCTGGCGGATTCGTGACTGTCCTTTATCGTTCTCGGACGAGCACGCGTGGGCAGGCTGAAAGATCACCCGGAGAAAGCGAAAGCTCTGGGGACACGTGGAAACGCGTGTCCGCGCGATTTTTTAAACCGGACAGCCGCTCCTGTGGTCTCGTTACGACGAATGTCGATGATTGCCGCGTCTGGTACGGTCGTCCTTCGGATAGAAAGGAGCGAGTGCACGTACAAAAAGCACAGAGTAAATGTATGTAATTCGCAACGCGATTATTTGCAAGCCTAGCCGAACGAATCGATTAGAAAGAAATTGAGATTTATTATTGCGGAAACTAACACGTGAGAGTTATCTACGTCGAAAGAACTAATTGTCCGAGACTGCGGAAAGAATGAATTATCCCATCGTTATAGAGAATGCATAGTCGCAAATACGGTATCGCAAATAATTTTCGTATCGAATCGATATTTCTACGAATTTGTGCATTAAGGGCTCGATCCACTGAAACACAACGAGCGAACAAACGAAAAAGTAAACAAATTAGCGTTCCAAGTGGCTTCTTGGAAGCTTAGTAAGCACATTCTTGTACGTTAGTATCAATTACAGCTTCCTCCTCCCCCATTAAGCCTCGTCGAACCCCACAGACTTCCTCGAGGCAGCGATATCGATGATCGGAAATCTTACTGCATTAAAGTATTTTATACGATAATAAATAGACTGCGTGCGAAAAAGTAGATATTACATTCTGTGGAGCGTGTTAAGCCGCAACTGCACGCTCATTTCCCCTTTTCTTGCCCGCAACGTATGCCAAGAACGAGCTACACAGTTCCCATACGGCGCAGCCACTTACGTCCCATAATGTTCCGAGTTAATAGTCAGATCAGTCGCGATAAATTCGCATTAACTTCTTTTCCCCCTCCGGCATTATCCACGTGCTCCAACCTCCGATGATAAAGCTAAGTTATTATACCTTGAACGTAACGTTGATTCATACCGATTAAATTTGTAAAAACCAGCACGCCTAACGCGATAGACTGTAAACTGTCGGTTAATCCCGTCGATGTTCGTTAAACGACTCGCTTCTGACAAGTTCGAGGAAGTGGTGGACCTTAAATCGTTCTATGTTATGCGAATACTCGATCGAGGGAGGAGAGCAAACGAAGAAGGTAAATAAGTTTTTGGGAATTTTATGGAAGCGGAAGGAGTAACAAGGATGTAATACGACTTTTCATCCAAAAATCGGCGTACAACCGCTCGATGCCGATTACATCGCACAGCCTGAAACGATCGAATCGCACCATAGAACCGTACTCGACCGTCGATTCGACTTTGATCAAAGCGCGCTATAGAGCCTCGCTGGACGTTTCCATTCGATTCTCGTCAGTTGGGTCGGTTAGCGCAAACGACGCGTCCAAGATAAACTCATCGGACGGAACACCTTCGGAATATCCTTTAAATTATCGGGTCCCGCGGAAACGTAGCGGTTGGTGGCGGCGAGCCGCGCAATTTCCATTATGCAAATGAAAATACCGTGGAACGTCGGCGCGAGGTTCGGTCGATCTTCGGCGATGATCAACATCGTGGGTGGCCGCTGGCTGATCCACCGGTAGCTCGGCTCGGTCGTCCAAGCTACCAAGCGCGCCTCTCCTTTTCTCTCTCCCTTCTCTCTTTCCTTCTTTTACCGTCTTTATTTCGCTGTATTCTCCGACCTCTTTCTCTTCCTCTTTCTCCCGTCCTCTTCTCTTCTCACCTTATTCCCTCCATGTTTTTCGTTCTCCACGGCTGACAGACGAATGAACGCAACGAACGGGATGGAACAGACAAGCGGCCAGCCTACGTGCGTGTAATTATCCTGTCAATGCGTCGGATTTTCAAGCCTCTCGTCGTCCTCGCGCGATACGCCCCGCTTCGATTGAGAAATCTCCTCTCTGTTGACGTACCGCCTCGCGTAGCACGCGATCCAACGCGGAACCAGCACGGAAATATGCAAATTCGACCCTCGATTTCGTGACGTCTCGCGCGTTTCATCCGTACGCCACCTCCACGATTCAGGCTGATTACGTTTTCTGCGATTAATTCCACGAGGAATGGCATGGGTATAGGTATCGAGCTATAGATGTGGGTTTCGCTCTTTTTTCTTTTTTCCTCTCTTTCTTTTATTCCCTGGCTTAGTTCGAGTTTTCTCGTTGCCGGGCAAAAGAGACGAGGATCGTCCTTCGATAAAAAGAAAAGATTGTAAAATATAGAAACGGCGGTACTTCTCCCATGGAATATCTGGTACGAAAAGAAGCATCTGCCAACGATGTCTTGCTAGTTGCAGCATTTTAGGCTTCGAAGTCTTTCGAGGGTGAGGGGAACCGTGGCTCTAACGTTAAACACGAAGACCACGCTATGAGTTACGATTTCGTATCTTATCGAACGTCTCGAAAATATCGACAGTTCGTATCTAAGAAACTGGCACCTCTTAACCAAAAAAATTGTTCTTTCTACCACCATATCCTACCTATCAACTGACATCGAAATCGAAAAATCAACGATGCCGACAGCCAAAACCTAGTAACGTTAGTTTCGTTATTTCGCGCTGTATCGTTGTGCGATAATTAATTAAAAAAAAAAAAAGGAGAAAGAAAAAAGCAGCGTTATACCCGCTGTACCGTGCCAGTGAAAAGGAGAAATTTTTTGGATGATTCGTAGAAGAGAAATTCCTTCTGGTTGCGATAAAAGCGAGTAATTATGCGCGATGAGGGTCTGGACGCGAAATAAGCGGTCGCTGGAAGAGTCATCTCATCGGTCTCGAGGCCCCTCGAGGTGCAGTAATCACGTTGTGCGATTAACTCTCTGGCTGTGGCGCAAGGTGTTTTTATTGCTTTTGCCGCAAAGTGATTGTTTACGATGGAAAAATGAACCCCTTTAGCGAGAGTCGTCTAGGCGCGTCGGCTCTCGGTACGTGGAAATTATTTGCGCTTTGAGCGAATCGTACGGCGAAGAAGAAATTAGCAAGGCAAAGGTACGTATCGATGAAATTTTTCGATGTACGCGTGCGAGCGTTCTTTCGAATAAAATCGAACGCGACGATTTTTATCGCCCTGGACGATTCGTCGGGTTGGTCCTAACGTAGCGTCGAAGGAATGCGCGATCGCTATAGCGTTTCACGGTGGGATCGTGATCGATCGATCGAGATCGACCGACAGGCTTGTAAGTTATCTTGTTTGCACGCCGTCGATGCTCGTAATTATCTTGGCTGCGATGCTGTTCTTTAATAGAAATTTACTCTCAAAGTGTGTCGGTGGTTTCGTCGAGTGGTGACGAGATATTAACGCGTTGCGACGGCGTATACTCGATCGCGTGCGAGGAACGTAACGAAACATTAAAGTGCAACTTGTTAACATTATGTTCTCTGCGTTCCAACGATATGTGGCAACGTTTGAAATGATAAATGATCCTTCCTACGATGCATCGCGCGTCATCTTTTCTGTTTCTCCTTCCAGTAGAGCGTAGCGAGAAAGGTGTGTGCATACCCGTAGGGCAAAACTAACTAGTCAGGTATTTCGACATTTTAGAGAAATCCTATTTTCCTCGATAGCCAGGTCCGACTAACCGAGATGTTCTCGAAGATTTCTAAAATAAATAACAGTTTACTCGCATCTTTTACACGCTAGTATAGATATATTTGAATTTACAGTGTAACGTACGTATCTGGCACGTTGGAAAACGTTACCTCTGTTGCCAAATGTCATCGGTATGCGTGTCAGGATTAAGATTCGCCAACTATGGAAAAAGACAGTGGCCGTAGAAAACGTAAAATGCGTTTCGTCGTAGCTTTGAATCCGCGTTTCGATTAAACGAAGAAATACGTTAAAAGTTTATTTCAATTTCCTACGAAACGATTATCTAACAAATATTATCTTTTTCCTTAATCGCTTGAAAGATGTCTAGTAGTTTAGCCGGAGACTCTTTCTTCGTTCTCTCTCGTTTTACCGATACAAGAGAGATACGCGAGTAGTTTTCGATATTCAATTTGCCTGCGTTTTCCTCGATATTCTTCGATGATAAATGCGATAATTTATACCGAAATCAATGGGAATCGAAGTTTATCGATCGTATAGGAACAAGGGGCAAAAGGAACGGCGTAATGACTATTTATCTTGTTGCAGCTTTTGTAGACGATTAGAGACGCTATAAATCTGCATGCGCGTGTTAGCACAATCATCGTGCTATCCTGAATCGGTACCACTCGCATGAAACATTATTCTCGAGCGTGACCAGACCGGTAATACCTCGTGGGTACTAATCCGAAGCCGCGGTGCAACGTGCATCTAAACCGATGCTGTTCGTGTGTCACATATTTCACGAAACTTTGCTTCCCTTCGCGTTATCGGTAAGACGTAAAACTTAACACGTCCTGGCAAGTAACGATATATGTCACAGATAATTTTGATCGCAGTGATGATATTTACATACCGCGCATATTTACGTACAGAGTGATGACATTATACGTATTCGCATATTCGAACACCTGTTCCGACATCGTTCAAGAAACTTTTATTCTACGAGTTTTCGTAGCTAGAGTTTGATAAGACCGTCTGAATTAA